TCGATCCCCATCGGTTGAATAGAGGAACGAAACACTCCGTAAACGGTGTAGAAATGGAAATCTCTCTCTAGCATACGTGTTTTAAAACCGTGAGGCTGACGGTGATACGTAATGGGCCAAAACGGACAATATCTACTATTAGTAACTTTGAGTTGTTACAAATGATATTAGAGTCAGACACGGGGTGATGTGCTAGTGAGGAGGCTCAACCTAAAAGGGAAGTGGATTGTGAGATCACACGTCGGTTGAGGAAGAGAAGGAAGTCTTTTTTACAAGGGTGTGGAAATCTCTCCGTACGAGTCGCGTTTTAAAAATCTCGAGGGAAAACCTGTAAGAAAAGGCTCAAAGAGAACAATATCGGCTAGTTTCTTCCAATTTTAGTTACCGGGTATAAAATATCCCACTAGATTATCAGCTCAATATCGAGCTTTAGAGCTTTCTAATGAAAAAGTTTGCATCTTGAGGAGAAAATTTGAAGTAAACTAAAGAATTAAGGTGAAGAAAGGAATAAAAGTTTAGACTTTTGTGTAATAAATGGAAAAAAAAAAAAAAGGTATAGAAATGATGGAACACAAACTCTTAAATATTCCACAAAAATATTCTCACTTTGATCGATATGAACCTATCTTACAAGTGTATATATGTATATGAGTATTTTATTGAAACTGAAAACAAGAAAGGTTTCAAATATGTCAATTTTTATCAGCTTTTCATTTCATCAATCTCCTTTTGCGAGCAATTTTGCTGAATTTTGCTACAATCTTGCTCAAGGACATAAGGAGTAGAAGAACTGACATAGAGATTCCAAAAGGAAAATGAAACAACAAGAGAAACAAAAACTATAGAGATAAATTCACGGCGGTGAAATTTTACTTTAGCTTTGGCTTTGTCCGGCTGCCACCGCCATCGCCTAGGCGGAGCTCGAGATCCAAATCCTCGCCAGAACTATGACTAAGTCCAATTACCTCCGATCGGAGAACGAAAGCCACCGTGGACGTCGAATGATGATCGCTTCGCTTTCTCTTGCAACAAACAGCATCATCTTTGAAGAGATCGGTTGTTTTTGTGGAAAGGTCTAAACTTTGACGCCATTTATGATCGGATTCCTCCACGGAGTTTTGTGAGGATTTAGGGTTAGGGTTAAACGCCAAATTTTCATCACAATCAAATTGGGAAGATGGGTGTTGTGGAAGATCGATCAATGACGTAAAGGGGTTGTTTTTTGGGGGAATTTGAAGATGGGTTTCGATTTGGGGTTTGAAAGATTCATGCTTTAACATAGCACGATCACGCCGGTGAACATTCATGTGACCACCAAGAGCTTGAGCTGACCTGAATTCCCTTTTGCAGAAGCTACAAGAGTAGAATCTCGGCGGCCAAACGCACCCGCCGAGACGACCGGCTGCATCGTCGGCGAAAGCTTGTTCTTCCCATGAATCATCAAAAGAAGAAGCTTTGTTGTTGTGATTATCGGAGGCAGTAGTCAAACGATTCTGATTCTGGTTCTTGTTCTGGTTCTTGTTTTCCCACATCATCCAACATGGTTTGGGCTCCATTTCCATGGAATTTGAGAGAGAATGAGATATTTAAGGTGAAGTTGATTGAAATTGAAGTGGTGGGTAGGGTATAGAGCTCTAGTGTTTTGGTTATTTTGTGGGAGCTAGGGTTGGGTAGATGGATTCCACTGAGTTCATCCATAAATGTGGTTGAGAATTTTAAATCTTTTAGAGAGAGTTTAGAAAGGTGAAAGGATTAAAAATTGGAATTGTGTGTGTGGGGTCTTTGAAAGCCATGTTTTTTGGGGATGACAAGAGGGAGGGTTGGGCAGCTAACTGAAGTAATCTGACTCAAATCTGCTCAAAGATATCACTAAAACAACTCATAAACTAATAATTAATTCACAAGTGTGTGTGTGTGTTTTTGTGTCTTCTTCAATTATGAACAAAACTTTTATTCAATGGATCTCTATGATTTGTGGTAGTATTAGAGAGGGGTGTCTCCATTTATTAATCATATTCCTAATGACTTTTCGTGTAACCGTACGTGTTTTTAAAATGTGTCTGCTAGGAAGAGATTTCCCATCATTTCTCTCTTGCATCGATATGGGATCTCACAAACAATGTCAAATATGTATTGGTGTATGAGTTCACCAATCATGCTCAGGATTCAGATAAGAATTTGACACTTTGGCATTCTCTCACATCCGTTGCCATATGGTTAGGTTACTTACTTCCTCAGTTCTAGGAAAGAATACTATATCTTCACAAACAAACATGAGTGCTTTCAGCATATTTCTATGAGCAAAGACTATCTCTCTAAACCAACTCAATTTCTTCCAACATTTTTAAATTTAATTTTTCAGATAATTAATTTTTTTTAATTATAAAAATTAAGAGAGCCCTTTTGAACTCTTAAAATAAAATAATATTTTTAGTTTGAATGTCGGAAAGATTTGTAAATAATGAGGGTCCTTTTGAAGCATAAACACCCCGACTATATAATTGAAGATACTGCTCTTCATCGATATAAGGTTAAAAAAATTATAAATGTTTATGCTTAAAATGAATAGCAGCACCATACAATTGTAGAGACTCGTAGTCCCTCTAGCAACTGATATGTTCTCTATCAACATAGCATGGAAACTATAGACTCCTTGTTTGTGGACTGTAACGTGGTTGCCTCTATTTGGAATTTAATTTGTAACATTGCTCGGTATCAACTTTGTTCTGTTAGGTTGGCTCAACTCGAATTTTAGCAAAATAAAGTTGGGTTCTAAAATCGTATGGATGGGTTGAAATGTTGGAAAATAATTTTTTAAGAATAAAAAAGAAATGATGTGGACAAATGTTTAGTTAAGAATAAATATTATTTAATGTGAAATAATATTATATTGTTGGTTAATCCAAAAAATATATAATATAAAAAATAAAATTGAGAATTGTTAATAGGCCACTATAATTTCCCCTATTTGCGTAACCACTTAGCCGATGTATTTGACATAGAGGAAGAATCATTGTTATTTATTTATTGTTAAAAAAGAATTCACAAATATTATTATTAATCCTTCCCTAATCTCTTGCTTTAATCTCTCCATTAAACTTAAATAATCCCTATTTAATTTCTTAATTACCTTTTTAACCAACTTTTTTCTCTATTAATCCACACTCAACAAACCAGTTTAATTTTTATTTTTATTTAAATATATGTCATTTCAAATAAATTTAGTATTTGATAAATTATAATAATAGAAAATGAATTTTAGTTTGACCACCACGCTGAATTCGGTTATTGCACAGGATTTGACAAATTCGCACAGTGACACCGACACGTCGTAAAGTACGCTTACAGACTTGCGGTGCAGGGGGGTGACTTTTTCAACGACATCAATTGTATGAAGTCGTCAGCAAAATTTATAACTAAAACGACACATGATGTAATTCTTAAGAAACACCGTATTCAAAAAATCAATGGTCCGAACATGGTTATCTCTGGCTCGATATCGATCGCCAGAGTGATTCGATAAAATATAGTAAAAATATCAACAAATTATCGGGATATAAATCGGTAAGTGATGATAAAATATTTATTCGTAGAAAAATCTACGAAATATAACAAAAATATTAATAAAATATTTGATCTTATATTTTTTTTAAAATTTTAAATATCGACATTTTCATCGATATTGATGTTTAAAACCTTGCCATATCACTAAATCTTTATATTTTCTAAGTATCATGGTTTGTACATACATGCATACATATAATGATTAGTCAAGCTTAATTTGGTTGAAATAGAACTAAATTGTGTTGAAGCGGCCTAAAAGAGTCAAAAGGGTCTAAAAGACAACGAACCGTGTTGGATTGATAGTTGGAGCAGGTCAAAATAGTGATCAGAGTAGGTTGGACTAATAGTTGGGTCAGATCGAGCAAGCATATCAATAAGTGCGTGGGTTGAAACCAAGTCAAGACGTAGGTCAACAGAAGCTCTGGTAGAATAACATGTTGTTCGAGTGTGCTGGTTTGAGTTGTTTAGTTGTTGCGTGCAAGGTAGACATAGAATGAGGGAATCATGGGCCAACCCAAGCTACGGGACACGAGTGAATTCAAAATAATGAGAAAAAATTATTGATCACTTATTCGTGTATTCGTGCAAGATAAAATAACTTGGTTGTATTTAGAATTATATGGGGCATTTCCTTCCCCGTGATATTCACTATCTTATCATTGTTTCATTAACTAAATCTAAGCTACTCACCAATTATGAGACCTCTACTCGGAGTAGATTTTATTATTATTTTTTTTATACGTTTCTCACCTAGGTGGCAATAAAGTATCATAAAATTAAATATAAAAAAAATTAATTATCTATAAAAAAAATATAATTATTCCATCCTAATGTAATCACATGAAAATAGTTTTTTTTTAAAGAAAAAAAAAAGAAATCATGTGGTCAAATGTTTAGTTATTACTTAATATTTTTAATCTTAAATAATATTATATTCTTCGTTATCCAAAAAAATATATAATTTAAAAATGAATTATTTCCCCTCTTTGCGTAACCACTTAGCCTATCTATGGATATAAATCAAGCATTCTTATTTATTTATTGCAGAAAAAAAATCACAAATATGATTATTAAAAAAAAAAAATCTTTTAGCTACAATTTGATCATTGTCCTCCACTAATTTTTTTGGTTTAATCCCTCCATTAAAATTAAATCATTCCTATTTAATTCCGAAATTAATTGTTTTATAATCCACTTTTGTCTCTACTAATTCACATTCAATAAATCAATTAATTTTTTTATTGTTTAATAATCTATTTCAATTTATAAATTATGAAATATATAAAATTAAATGTTTAATGTTAATTTGTTTTTTTCGAGGACTAAATAATATATAAGTACACAACGTATTACATAATTCAAAATAAAATAAAATAAAATAGATCAAAATATAACGATTATTAGGACTTGTACACGTGGCTACATCTAGTCCGTCCATTGAGAAGTGGCAATTTCCATGAATTTGAAATAATCTGGTGGGCTACACGTGGCAAGCATTTTGGGAAAGGTTGGAGTTGAGAAGAGTCTTTTGGCTTCCAGAATCTTTCAGCTAAATCTTGTGGCTCTCGTTTATATGTGGGGCTATCTTCCCGGTGGTTTGCCGGATAAATCTGTTTTGCTCTCGGCGGAGCTGGTGCGGTTTCCGGGTTGTAACGACGGTGGAAGGATGCGTGGGGCGGTGGTTGTGGATTCGCCATGGCCATTTCAGGTGTTGAAGCTTTCCATCTTTGAAATGTTATAACAGGTGAGAACACATTATAATCATTTTCTTGTAAGCTTTCCATCTTATTTTCACCATCTTTTTAGGATTCGATCTTTGGTCAATGGTGAGATGTCACGGCTATTAGATTGGAGAATTAAGCATTCCTTAGATGTGGAAATTTCTCCTTAGTAGACTGTTTTAAAATCATGAAGTTAACCGTGTTAGACGAATACTGACTCTCCACAATGCTATGATATTATTCATTTTGAGTATAAACTCTCCTACATTTCCTGAGGTGGGACTTTCATCATCCAGCACCTCCTCTTGAATAAAGCACGCCTCCCCTTAATCGAGACTCGACTCGTTTGGAGTCTTAGTCATTTTTTACTACCTTCTTGCCTCCGAAGAGACTTGGCTCTGTTTTTTTTTTTGTGGGGTTCTTTGTTCAACATTTGAAGATTTACCAATCTACTTGCACGACTAAATTTAGGACATGGCTCTGATACCATGTTAGACGAACCCGACTCTCCGCAATGGTATGATATTGTCCACTTTGAGCATAAGCTCTCATGGTTTTGCTTTGGGCTCCTTAAAAAAGTCTCATACCAATGAGATAGTATTCCTCACTTATAAATCTATGATCATTCCCTAAATTAGCGGACGTGAGACTTTCATCATCTAACAAACGTTAATAAATAACGGATCAAAGCAAACAATATTAGCCCAGAGTACTCGACTTTTGGAATGTTCATATTTATTTTTTTTAGTTTCTTTTTAATTCATTCTTATATGATTTCTGTAATTTTTTTTTACTAAATTAAATAACTTTATATCTTGTTTTGAAAATTATGATATTTTTTCCTTTTAAAGTATATATATATATATATATATATTAGATTATTGCGCTTTTTAAATTTTAATTTATGCATTATTTTTTAAAAAAATATACAAATTTGAATATGTTAAACTATAAAAATATTTAAATAAGAAAATAAAAATGGAAAATTATATTGTAGCATATTATTTAGTTATTGCATTTTAATTAATTGTAAATATTATTATGATAATTATACATATTCCATTCCTTATAATTTCATTATGATTTATTTTCGTAGTAAACATAATATTAATTTCTATTTGATTAATATGTTTACAAAATCAATAGTTTTGCCCATTGAGATTTAAATTTGAAATTTATTTGACCTTTTGAAATTTCAAAAGCCACATATGTGGTCTCAATAAATAAATAAATAAATAAATTAATTAAAAATAATAATATATTTCCTATAGGAAACCAATTACACATTATTTTTACTTTCAAGAATTTTAAATACGAAACATTGAGTCGGGAAGAAAAAACAAATAAAGTAGATAAGTCAAGATATTTCTTTATCCTCAATAATTGGACTACAACGTGGTTTATCTTTGCAGTCATTTTGTTTTAATTGATATTATCAAGATGATGAATTTAAATTGGACTTTGAGGAGTAGGTTCTGGTACCAAGAGTAATAAGTAACTCGGGCCTGAGTCAACTAAGTAAGTGATTTACTGTTGGTTGGTAAGAAGAATTGTATGATGTATGATGATGCATGCTTTGTGGCCCCTACATGCGTCATAATGTCATGCTATGCTTATGTAAGTTATGTGATGACCTACAATGTCATGTTATACCCGTATTTGGTTTCCTATTATGCCATGATATGTATGATGCGAAATTCTATGAATGTTATGCTATATCATGCCATGTAAGGTCATGTTATAGATTATATGCATTCATGATATATGGCATAAGAGAAAGGAAGAATGAAATGATTCTTATTATATGCTATGATTTTCAATCATGGGGACTTCATGCATTTATGTATGTCATGTGCATTTAAATTTCCTAATTATGTTAGGTTAGTACAGACGCATACCTTCGTTATTTATGTTTGTCATGATATCATGCGGGTCTTTCCCTCTGTGGTGTTTGGCGACACGTCAACTATTTAGCCTGATGAAGCCAGGTTCAAGGGGTATGTATATGAGTCCACTTGGTGGGTCTATGTGCGTGAGCCATGCATGGAGAAGTACCGCACATCCAATTCTGTCTAAACTAGAAATAGCTCAAAGTCATGCTATGTTGTTTTAAAAGATAGGTCACATCATATATGTGTGCGCTTGCATTACTTGACCCCAACACTGGGGTCACTTACTAAGTATTTCCTAAAAAACTCAAGTCATATGTTACACTTACGTTTCAAGTAAAATAAGACATCCATGTACGAATGACAGAGGCGACACATGAAGACCATAACATCGTTTATTGGGTTGTTTTCTAGTTTTTGGACGTATGGTTTATTTTTGTTTCTTATATGCTTTTGTATTGATTTATTGATCTTATTTTTAATGTGTAAGTCCATAGCAGAGCGTTGATACTAAGCATTGCATCATATTTTATAAATGAAACATCGACATAGTTGATAACCGACATTATTATAGCCTCTTAAATGACGATAATTTAATATTTGGCAAACTCAAAATGAATGATAATTCATAAAGTGTGAGAGTGTGACAAAGGCAGGCTTGTTCCATTTATGATAATCTTCACCTAATAATTAAATGTCTTTGCTTAAGATCATTCTATGCTTTGAATTATGAGAATGGAGAAGGACGGCTTCGATCATTTTCAAACCTCATGATTTGAACAATGACTTCATCATCTACGGCTCTTATTTCATCAATAATCTTCATTATTATTTTTTGATAACATAAAGTATGGTTAGGGTTACATCTAATTTCAAATGGGTTTCAAGTGTATAGCATTTCCCTTTGTGGTTGTGACAGTCTGGAATCCAAAGTTTTGGTTTTTATTGCTTCTTGGTTGTGCCGGCCTTACAACACCATTGGCTATCATTTTTAGTAGACCGAAACTGAAACCATATGTATACCCAATTCACTTTATTCTCTTGTTATTTGTGTTTTATCTTAACAAGTGTGTGTTATTGAGCGATCCTAATATTTCTCCCCCTCGTCCATTACAAGCAGGTTCTTGCGAGGCTCTGACTCTGACAAATTAACATCTTGTATATCAAATTTGAAATATGTGAGTTACAACACAAATGTAAGAAGTGTTAAATTGTAGGATATCGTATTTGTACATAAGAAGATAATCTTCTGATTTACTTATTTGTTATTCGACAATCTATAATTTATTGGTGTGTTACAAAATTTATAATTTGATGATTTGTTATAATGTAATTCTCATTATACACATTCAACCAAACCGGAAGAAACTAAGATTGATATAAACATGAACAAGTGTGATTAGTTGAAAACAAACGAAAATGAACAGACATACCAACCGGCTTATATTGGAAGCTAATACCAAGAAAACCCTAAAAAAAAAAAATAATAAGCAAAAAAAATTGAATAAAGAAGGATTTAGTGGGAGATTACAATGCAAATGGGTGTAGTTTGGATATAGCTTTCCGTAGCTATCATCAAAATAGAGGTAATCTTTATTCGGGTTAGCGTGAGAAGGTGGAGTGTTTAAATCCAAACAAACCCCATAAAATTTGATCCAAATCTTCAACCCCTTAAGCCAAAGGAAATGGAGGGTCTCATTCCATTTGTTTACAAAGCCATTGTAGAGTTCAGAAATGGCAATAATAATCAACCCATGTGGTGCTGTGACTCTCCTTCTTCAGCTTCATATCAAAGACTCCCAGGCGATGATGATGAGCTACACAATATCAATGGGGCCTCTTCTTCTTCTTCTTCGAGTGACAGTGTCTTAATTTGTGGTTCTGGGGTTGATCAATCGTCGCTGTGTAATCGAGGAACATAGAAGTGCTTATTGTGTGGCTTTAAGTTTGGTGATGGGGTTGAGTTATTTGTTGTAAGTGTTTTTGTTTGGTAATTTTAAGGTTTTGATAGGGTTGGTGTGTCTGTTGGAAGTGTAAGGGTGTGTGTCCGTGCAGAAATCTCCCAAGGGAGAACTGTGCTCTATGAATTGTGAATAGTGGCTGTGGTTGTTCATGGATGTTTGACTAAAAATGAAGTTTTTTTCCCCCTCAAAAGTGTTTTGGATTAAGATTTCAATGATGTTATATGGATTCAAATTTGTTTAAAGATCTTTTCGATAAATTAAAACACGAATTACGATTTGATGTGTGAGATCTCATATTAATTAGAGAGGAGAACGACACATTCTTTATGAATGTATGAAAACTTTTCTCTGCATGTGTGTTTTAAAATGTTCGAACGAAAGTTTAGTAGGAAAGACAAAAAAGATAATATTTAGTAGTAGTTGGTTGAGTTGTTACAAATGGTATAAGTGCCCGACACTAGTTGGTGTGACAGTGGGAAAGCTAGCCTCGAGGAGATGGATGATGGGTAATTTTGCTGGAGGTTGATGTGGTCTTTAACCGCTCAAGTCTACGACTAGCAAATATTATTAGCTTTGACCCATTACAATAGTCATAAGTCTCATGGATTTAAAACGTGTCTGTTCGAGAGAAGTTTCTACACTATCGTAAATAATATTTCATCTTACAGGGGCCAAATCCTTCCAATCCTTCAAACTCTCTCCTACCATGACATTAAGGGAAGGAAAGCAAACAAGAACAAGAATGAAGGAAGCTCCTTAATCTCTTCATCCCTTTTGTACACACAGACCATATCATCTTTTGTTTAATGTGAAAAGAAGGGCGGCGTGAGTGGTGGCGAGGTTGGCCGGAGAAGCAGGAAAAGGCTTTAAAAGGCATGGGATGAGTGATAAAAGGTGAAGCATTTGTGGTAGCATTGTAAGGGTTAGTTTTGTAAGCAAAACTTGATGAAATGGAAGGAGAACACAGACACACAGACACAGACACACAGACACAGACCAAGCTTGGGTTGGCTCCTCGGAGTTTGGACAGTGAAATTGGAAGAATCGTTCTTAAGAATTCGGACCACGGCGAGACAAAAGTACTGAAATTTGTTCTTTTTTTTGTTTTCTTCAAGGAATAATGTTGCTGTTTGCCCCCATTTTTCTTTCCAACCTTCTCATCCATTTCATGTTATCATTACGTCTCTTCTCTCACCAAATTATATGTTTTCATCAGGGATATGAATTCGAATCTCCACGGTCTACTTTGAGCATAAACTCTCGTAGGTTTGCTTTTAATTTCCCAAAAAACCTCATGTCAATAGATGTATTTCTTACTTATAAACTCATGAACATCTTCTTCATTAGCTACCTGACGTGAACTCCCCACCAAACCATCCTCCCCTCAAACAAAATATACCATAGTCTTCCCTGAGACCTATGGAACCCTAGAACGACCTCTCCGAATCAAGACTGATTTCGAACAAAGTACACCATTTGTCCGACACTTGAGTCACTTTTAACTACTCGTTTGATCTACTCGTTTGATGCTCACAACTTCTTTAACTTCTTTATTCCAGAGGATTATGATTTAAGTGAGGATTGAGATTCCACACAGTATTAATAATTTTTTATTCTACTCATGGTGATGCAGCCAATCTTCTTCTTCTTCTTTTTCTTCTTCGATGCATTGAGAAACTAAATCAGTGCCCACTTGTAAAGTTCGAAGCTTTTTGTAGTTTATGAGTTCAGAAGTTTCAATCATAACTCATCTCTCTGCTCTGCACCTCAAAAATTTAATTCCCAATCAAAAATGGAAACCAATCTTCCCCTTCTCTTTCTTCTCATTTTACTCTCAATCTTCCTCTCCTGCACCGCCAAGCGCTGCCCGGACTGCGGCCGCACGCCGGTGCCGTACCCACTCAGCACACGCCCAGATTGCGGTGATCCTCTTTACAGAGTTCGGTGCACCGCCGGCGTGCTCTGGTTCGAGTCCGTCAATGGGTCTTCCTATTTGATCACTTCCGTTAATCCGGTGGCCCAGAGGTTGATTATCCGGCCGCCGGGGTTGGCGAAAAACACCTGCGTTTCATCGGATTTTGGGAGCCATGGATTTTGGCTCGACATCGGCCATCCTTTCACCATTACCAATAGAAACACGGTTCTACTCTTCAATTGTTCGATGGAAGTCCTGGAAAATAGTTGGAACTGTTCGGCTAACAGCGTCTGTCATGACTACATCAAGCAGAATCCGGTGGTCATGGGGGCGTGTAAGGCGGCGCCGACGTGCTGTTGGTATACAAGTGGAGGGTCCATTACTGAGTACAGAATCAGGGTGCGGAAGGAGCGGTGTTCGGCTTATGAATGCTTTGTGAATTTGGGTGGTTCTGTTCCGGCGAAGAAGAAATGGCCAGAACCTGGGGTGGAGATTCAATGGGCACCTCCGCGAGAGCCGCCGTGTCGAGTGGCTGCAGACTGCCGGAATTGGGAGAATTCTGCTTGTTTGCCGGAACCTGCAAATGCTCGCCAGATGAGGTGCTTCTGCAAGGTGCCTTTCAAGTGGGATCCTGTTAATGGCTTGTGTAATGGCAACAGTGAGTAAAATTTAGCAACATTTACACTAAAAAAAAACTTGAATTTAAATGCTGCTTTGTAATATTCTTTGATGACATGAAATCTTTTGGTTTGATGCAGATGTGAAAATACAGAACAAGAGAATTCACAAGAAGCATAAGAAGATGCCTGCTATTCTTGGAGGTATATAAATCAAGGCAAATTGTGGTATTCATTGAGTGTGAAACTAGAATGAACTTACTTTGACAATGGTGAATAAATTTGTTCATTCTCAGCAATGGCTGGAGTGATCGTCGTGGTGATTGGAGGCTCGACCATGTTTATAATTTTCAAAAGACGTCAACAGATTCCGAAAGGGAACGAACTCAATTCGAAACAAGTTCGTGAAGTGATTCTAACAGCCAACAGCAGTGGCAAATCGGCGAGGATGTTCACAACCAAAGAGATAGCAAAGGCTACAAACAACTTCTCGAAAGAGAACTTGCTTGGCTCTGGTGGCTATGGAGAGGTTTTCAAAGGCAGCTTAGAAGATGGAACCTTAGTAGCTGTTAAGCGCGCCAAGTTGGGGTGCATGAAGGGTATCGATCAAATCTTGAACGAAGTTCGAATTCTTTGTCAGGTGAACCATCGATGCCTTGTTCGTCTACTTGGATGCTGCCTCGAACTCGAGCAACCCCTGCTAATATATGAATACATCTCAAATGGGAACCTATTCGATCACCTTCATGGCAATACAAGTTCAAGTAAATGGCCACCGCTGACATTGAGTCGTCGACTCTACATTGCTCGCCAAACAGCTGATGGCCTTGCTTATCTACACACTTCAGCCATGCCAAGAATCTATCACCGAGATATAAAGTCAAGCAATATTCTACTAGACGAGAAGTTGAATGCTAAAGTTGCCGATTTCGGGCTTTCTAGACTGGCCGTTACTGAATCAAGCCATATTACAACTGGGGCTCAGGGAACATTAGGTTATCTAGACCCGGAATATTACTTAAACTTTCAATTGACAGACAAGAGCGATGTTTATAGTTTTGGAGTTGTCATGCTCGAGCTGTTGACTTCTGAGAAAGCCATTGATTTTAACAGAGAAGAGGAAGATGTAAACTTAGTAGTTTATATCAAGAAGATTATCAAAGAAGACAGATTGATGGAAGTTGTTGATCCTGTGATCAAACAGAGAGCAAGCAGAGTTCAAATAGAGATAATGAAGGCATTAGGGTCTCTAGCAGCAGCTTGCTTGGATGAAAAGAGGCAAAACAGACCTACAATGAAAGAAGTTGCTGATGAGCTAGCCAACATTATTTGTGTTCTTAACAGAGAGATTCCAAATATTGACGAACTGTAAAGGTAACTTTTGAATGCATTTTTTGTCAAAGTTTTCTGTATGAAACAAATCAAAGAAAAGAAGAGGTAAAAAAAAGGGCAATAGATTCCTCCATAGACATGTATTACTTTGAAAATTCTCAATGAAAAGCTCTAACAGAGTGTGTTTAGTTAAGTTTTGTCTTAATAAGGCCATTCGATTTCGTTTGAAGGATCATAATCTTCATATTTCAATCCTTTTCTACTCTGTTTTCTAAAGTAAATGGTAAACTGAACAAGATCTTCTTCAATTCTAACACAGATTCAAATCTAACTTTTATTCTAAATTCTAGTGAACTTTGGTAGATCAAACCTTGCATAGAAACTTGTGATTGTTGACCCTTCTCCCCCAACCTTTAACTACCATTAAGAGAGGGACAACTGGAAAAAGAATCCTAGGAGACATGTTCTGAAATCCTAAGTTTTTGTGCGATGCCATGGGCCATTTAACTTCTAACATCGCATTCCGAACGTGTGTTATCACCTTGGAGAAATCTATGGTCATATATGACAAGGAAACTGTATTATTTAATAGATTCTCATAGTAAAGCAGCAACAGAACAGATCTTCCTATGAAAAAGCAACATCATTCTGATTCTGATAACTAATAGATTAAACGAGAGGGTTGGATTGCTTACAAATCATCCGTGTAAGCTGTTAACCATAAAAACCAGAGCGAAATGGAAACATCCTCTTTGCTTCAAAACCAAGTGTTTGTACATGAAACATGAAAAATGTCAAAAATGAATGTTATAAAAACGAGATTATTTACAGATGGCCTGCTTTTCATCAATAAAGAAAGAAATCGAGTATGGGTTTTCTAGACTGAAGCTAATAAAATCCAGAACATGACATGTGATGACATAGCAATAAGAGCCCAGGTGATAAAAGCAAGAGCTATGGAGATCTGGAACATGTTACAAGGAAGATTTTTATGAGACTTGCAGACGTCCAAATCTTTGGCATAAAGAACAACAATCCCTGCTGATGAACTTGCAGCAGCCAGGGATAAAGTGGCTGTCACCTGCATATTTCATGCTTTAGTCTATAGTGTTGAACTAAAAACAAACGAATATTAACTTCTCAAAGGCTACAAGAAACAAGAAGATAACAAAGATGTTTGAGTTGCTTCATGAGACAGGATGATAGATGTAATCGATCCCAATCGTCTAAATGAGACATTAAATCGCACTTCTTAAGAGAGCATTTTAGTTGTTATTATTCATTTTCTATTAAGTTGTATTAGTATGATTACTGCTATTTAGCACATAATAATATCAGAACCCCTTGTGATCAACACCTTACATTAAGTAGAGGTAATCTAATGGATTGAACTACCTGAAGAGGACATAAAGGCAATTGTGTTCAAGTTCATATGAGCATTACCTTAAAATAATGACTAATACTGGCCCTTTTCGTCGAATAGCAACATAATTAAACCAATCAAAACTTCAACCTAAAGGAAGAGGAGATTTTATGTGGATCAAGGCATGATGAATGTTATGCAAACAAGTGATAGTTTGAGTCAATTTAAGCCTACGGGGACATTTGGGTCTCTAATTGAAGGAATAAGAAATGTCAACAAGTTCATGAGATGAGTAAAATACCCAATCACCAACAACAAAAAGGCTGACCAATATTGGGTTTTCAAGGTCTCTTTTTCTCCTCAAAGCATACATATCAAGGCATGCAAGTCCAAAGCTCCAAAGCACTTGAAGGCCCATTGATGCAATCAAATAGCTGAATCACAAATAAAACAGATCACAGTCAACTGAAATACTCCTAAACACGTGCATTTCTGATCTTCCAAGTCCGGAAGGTGAAGCATAAAGAATGAACATCTCATGCTAAACTCAAGTAAGTTTTGCTATTGAAGAACAAATCATGGCAAATCCTACCAATTTACATTAGAAATGGTTCTGAAATGGAACAGTCGAGAGAATTGTCTGCAGTAAAGTCTAAGAGGATCAGCAGAACACTTATAGAGTACTCCATGTTCCATATTAAAAAAGCATTCAGCCCCTAAAATCATACATGGAGTATACTGATCTGTGACTTTGTGAAGTTTAAACAAGTTGGATTCGTATAAACGTCTTGGACATTGCACAATTATGTTAAACATGGTCAATGTAGTTCTTCACAGAACTTCACAAACTCACAGATCAAGAACGCATAGCACAATTTCATAACCTTCTTCCATTTTCAATCCACGAATAAGAAAATCTCCAGTTATCGAAATCACCCAAAAACAAGAGACGCGTGTTGAATAACTAATCGAAAGAACAGGGAGAGGCAAATGGCAATACCAGAAAGCAGTGAAGCTAGAGAAACCCAAAGCAGAAACCATAACTCCGATTGAAGCAGCCGCAAATGCCGATTGACCCATTCTCAAAGCTAGTCCACTCTTCGTCCCCGGTCTTCCGATCAAATCCTTCATTGTTCCCTTTCAATCCTCCACCTCCGGCCCCCAGCCAGGGGGATTAATCGACGGGAACTCTTCAGTCTTCACAAAAGATGACCCAATTCGGAAACCTAGGCGTTATACTCTTCCCGTCAATCCAAATCTGATCGGAATCCGACCAATTCCAAGCACCAAACTGATCAAGATCAGAAGAAAAACAAGCTACAGAAACCAATATTCGTCTAGCTTATCAAATTTTCCAAGCTCAAACCCCACCAAATCCTTGGGTTGAGGATATAAAGATTTACCAGTTTTCGTTTTCTTTCTTAATTATGAGCTTTAAAAACAAATTACTTCGTTAATTACTTCATTATTCAGCAGACAAACCTCTGTGCAGGCGCTACTTTACTCTACTTGGATTTTTCATTTTTCTTACTTTTTCTTTTTCTTTTTCTTTTTTGCGGTAATATAATAATTCCTCTTTAATTTACAAAAATATAAATCCATATAAACCTAAAAAATTAATTTTCTTTCATTTTTCTTAAAAAAAATAAAAAAATTTAAATCCATCAATTTTTAAGTGATATCAGACATTATATTTAAAACATAAACGATGAATAATTAGAAGTATTTTTTTTACAATTTTTTTTAATTATTTTTTTTAAAAAATTGAAAGTTGATTATAAATACTTTTAAATTTATCAACCAGTGTCATAATTTTAATTAAGAATTTTTATTTTTAAAAAAAGCTATACCCATAATATATATATATATATATTTTATTAATAAAAAAAAAGTGGTTTGCACTAGGGCAACTTGTTCAACAAAAAAGAAAATTAGAAAAATTAAAATAATGAATAAAATAATAGTTAGGTAAGCAATTTATTTTTTTATGTTATGTAAAATAAAATAACTGGAAGTATTTGGCTTATTATTGACCTTCTCCGCACAAAAAAAATGATAATGTAATTTAAACAAAAAAAAAAAAATGATATTACTTAATACATTATTCGTACACATTCTTCTTGGTGGGTTGAATATTTTGTTTATAATATTTAGAAAAATATATATATATGAGAATATAATGTCTAAAAAGAAGAGAAATATCTAAATTTTATTTAAATAAATTAATTTTCAACATTTTTATTATATTATTTAATTCCAGATAATTAAGTGTTGCCAATTATTTATTTTTATTACGTTAGTTAAAATTTTAACTGATTAAAATTTAATTTAGATTTAGATGTACAATAGATTTTAAAATTGGTAATTGATCTTAATAATTATTATCGCATAAATAATAATATATTTTAAAAATTAAAATAATAGTGTAAATTATATTAAATGAGATATACATATAAATTTTACACCATTATAATATTTTATTATAAAATAATAAGTATACATTAAATTTTGTTAATCAATATTAATAATTATTCTTAAATAAATAATTTAATAAAATTATAAAAAATATAATTGTAAATAATGATAATAAATTAATAATAATAATAATAACAACTTGTAATATAACTTTGCCGTCCCAACCAAATTAACTTGAATTAGAAGAATTTTGAGTTGGATTAAGTTCATTTTTTGAAACCGAATAAATTTAGTATAAGTTTCGAGTTCATTGAACAAAATTTTGTGTTGATTCGAACCAAATAAAATCTTATAAAATATATTAAAATAAGTTCGGTTGGAATAAGATAAAAATAATATGTCAATATTTCATATTGTTTTTAAATCTATTATGTATAATAGGAATAATATATATATATATATTATTTATAGTATGAATAAAGTAACAAAGGATTATTCATATATTTTATACTATTTTAAAATACACTATTTATAATATAAATAAACTAATAATATACAACTATATATTAATTAACGTTAAAGGCCCTCAAACAATGTCGACACTGTATACTGTACCCACATTGACCCAGCCAATATTTTCGTAAAAGACCAAAAAGGCCAGCGCACTGACCCAGCAGGCAAGGATGACGTGGTGAACCGTTCTTGGTCGAAAAAGGCGGCAGTTTTCCAGCATTTCCATTTATTTTAGGATTAAAGATGGAAGGTAAAGCCACGTCTCCAAAAATTCAATATTATTTTAATTAAATCCTACTTTTTTTTTTTTTTAGTTTTGATTTTAAAAGGCATGTAAAAAAAAGATAAGAAATAAATATTTATAATCTTAATTTTAAAAATAAAAAATAAAAAGATTATGATATGGGCTAAATTTTTAACCTATGTTAAAATAATAATAATAATATTAATGTCTATATCATATGTTTTTTTTTTTTTTACCATTTATGAATCTATGGGAAAAAAAAGTAATACAAAATTAACACAAAATGTCACGTGGCGAACCCAAAAAAAAAAAATAAATAGTGTTATTTATTATTATTTTTCTATTAAGAAAAAATAATTAAAAAAAAGAGTTGAAAAAAAGGGGCGTTACTTGGATTTTGAACCACTTACCAAAACGTTATAAAGGTGGGGAAAAATCAATCTACTTCGTATCTGTTCATTTCCGTCCATTTCATTTGCGTTTGGTTCCCTCGAACTCAAGTTCCGTCTCTCGTGAAAGCTTGGAAATGGCTACTCAAATTTCGTTTTTCCAGTTGAATACCGGGGCTAAGATCCCCTCCGTTGGGCTCGGAACTTGGCAGGCACCCGAAGGTCTCGTCAGTAACGCCGTTGCTGCCGCCGTCAAGGTTTTATCGTATACTTCACCTTCTTTCTATTTGCTTGCTAATTTTAATCAGCAGTAATGCCGATTTCTGCTTTTCTTTTTTTAGTTTTTATTTTATACTGGTAATAGGATTCTTGATCTGCTGTTAGAATCTGAAAGATGCTTCCGGAAGTTTGTATTCGTTCTGATGGAATGACGTTAAAG